GGTGCGCGATGAATGCTATCCAGCGCAAAGATTGAAGAAGGGCGGTCGGTCGATCGAAGTTTTCAATCGCTACCATGTCAGGCTCCAGCACGTCTGGAGGCCGTCTTTGGGTTGCGAGGAAGCGCGTAGGTTTGAGGAAGCGTTTTGAGAGAGGTTTGAGAGACGTCCGTCGGAGCGGAGCGAAAGCTTTGGTGGTGTCTTGAGGTCAATTGAACCAGCTGCGGTCGGCAAGCATTCACAGTGACCAGACCAGGTGCACCGTTAGAATAGCTGTAGAGTCGCTCAATCCCGAGGATAGGGAAAGTCACAAGAGAGCAGAGCACACAGGAGAGCAAGGGGAAGACAGAATGGCAGAGGGCTTGACGTACCTGCGGTCGGCAAGCATTCACAGTGACCAGACCAGGTGCACCGTTAGAATAGCTGTAGAGTCGCTCAATCCCGAGGATAGGGAAAGTGCAACTCGTGCCCGACCGCAGGTGTCACAACAAAGGGAAACAACAGTAGCCACAAGCTTATTGCCCCAGGGCAGCTGCCCAGGCATCGTGGGGACCGCGTCACACGCGGTGTTTACTCATGTGACTGCCACGAGGAGGATCAAGCCCAGGGGGTCCAAAAGTAGGTGTCAATGTGTGAGGTCGTCGTAGCTATGGAATACCAATAGGAAGACCCATAGCGACCGATGCTGAGTGTGTGCGAAAGCAGTGGGAGTGTTCAAATGCGTGGAAGCACGGATTTGACGCTAACAGTAGCGGCTGCGCTGCATCAGTGGATGCCGGGCGAGCTTAAGCAGCTCGCAGACGCTGACGCGAGACCCTACACACTGTTGGGGCCAAGCGCCACGCATAATCTCAAGCAGGTCGTGTCCAGCCGCATGAAACAACGCCTCGCTCGCTCGCTTCAGATTGGCACCACATCGGGAGCGGTGTTGACTGATACCAGCAGCTTCGAAGAAGAGGTGACACTTGTTGCACTGGGCGACCAATTTGGCCTCCATCACCTGCTTGACCAGATCAGTGGCTTGCTCGTCGTAGGGGTGCTCGCGTAGAACATGATTGACCCAGGCTTTGCGGTCAAGGCGGGGCCCCTTGCATTTGCAAAGCCCAAATGGGCAGGCGAGGAGTTGCCTGTGGCCAGATGTCTTTAGCAGGACCTTGCGCTGGGCATCCAGCACGTTGGCAGCGATGGGCGGAGCGGGATCGCTGAGAAGGACATCTTGTTCACTCTCACTGTGTTCGCCCGCTGTATTGTGTGTTTCACTCTCACTGACTTCGCCAAGTGGGGCGAGCGTGGCATATCTCTGAAAAGGTTGTGACTTCTCTTCCGACAAATCATCGCGATACACACAGTTGTCCAGAACGGCTGTTTTGTACAAATGTTTTGATTCTGAGCAGTTGATGAGGGCCAGCGTAACGTTCAAAATGACAACAACTCACATGTCAACAACTTACACTTAACTGCAGGCTCGGAACCTGTTGGCGGGGTATCTCAGAACACTCGACACACTTGAAGTCGCGAAAATGCATGCGACCTCCCTTCTAGCACGATCTACCCAGCCATGGTGCCTCAAGAAGGACATGGCATTGTGCTTGCGATGAGCTATGTATGGCACAGCCATTCAGAGTGTTACAGAGCACGCCAACTCAAAGGCCCTCTTGCCATGGCGAGACTGTCAGAACTACTGGCGTGCTGATGCGCCTTGTCTGTGCCAATCAAGGAGACTCGACATGACAGCTGTGGATTTTTGGCTCAAAGCTGTATTGAGCAGTCGGCTGCCAGTCAGTCAATCAAGAGCTATAAACACCGTAACTCTGGCCCGGACCTGCGCCACACGCCATGTCCAAGTTTGACCGCGTGCATTGCGAGGTTGATCTCGTCCTGCGTTAGTAGATAGCGCCGACACTGGTGCTCTCATTCTCAGACCCATCGGCATGGAGCTCATTGGGCCTCGTGATTGCGTCTGGCTGGCTGAATTCTGAACGGCATGCCGAGCCTTCTCAGGGTCCAACCTAATCCGGTATGTGTTTCGCTCCGCTTCCAAAAACAGCTGCCTTTGAAGATGCTATTTCTTACCCGATTCATCCTTGATGTTTTGCGTGCGTAGATGCACCGTGTGTGCTCGAGCCGAAGGGGCCACACAACACTTTGAACTGACTGTGGCATTATGTCGATGTTTAGCTTGACGCAAGGCTGATACCACTCATCGACTTCGACTTCGACGAGCCCACTGTGGACAATGAGCGGAACCGGGCCGAGCTCTGGTACAGCCTTGAAGACAATGGCTGTGGTTGGAGCCGTAACGCCCTGAAATCCCAGTGGCCAATTGACATGTGAGAACAAATTCATCATCTCTGCTCAATTCACCGGCATTGCTAGCATAAGTTAGGCCAGGACAATCCTGCCAGTATTTCGCAGTCCCAAGAAAGACCAATGTACGATACCAGAGCACAACATTATTGAGTCGGTAAACCCCTGTACTTCGCCCACGGCTGCTCAAGCGCAAGTACATCCATTCTCGAGCTACATTCCAGCCAATATGGCAGCCAGTGTTCTCTATGTGCGCCCCTTC